AATTTCAACGGTTAAATCTTCAATTTTAAGATGAAATTAATTATTAAACCGTTGTTAATCTCCCAAATTTTCTTATATATGCATTTTATTCACTCTTTCAATTTTACAAATAAAAAAGAAATCTTTAAGATAATCTTAATTCCAAAATTCTTTGCAAGTATTGTGAGTATAGGCTATAGCTAGTAATCGGAAAAAAAAACTCATCACAAACCTCTTCGGATTCAACACCGGATACGACTTTTTGTTAAATTTTAATATCTAGGTATGTTGAATTATTTCCTGTTGTTTAATTTAAGTGCATTTTTCTGATTTTTATTAACTTTTTTTTTGTTGAATTTTGTGGGTGGGAGTAGAAGTTGATCAATCGACGCTTTTGTCATTGGTGAAGACTTTTGATACTGCGCTTGCTGTGTATGAAGGCTTCTGCAATTTAAAACAGGTTAACAGGTTTAATTTTTTTGTTTTTATTTACTTTTTTTTCTGGGGAATTTTTAGTGCATTGTTGTTGAATTTGAGGTTAATAATTCCATTGAATTTTGTTGAAATTGAAATAGTTGGTGTAGTTTACTGTGGAATTTGTTGTTTATTTTTTCATTTGCTCATTTAATTTTATTTTTAATTACTGATAGTTTTTTTTTTTTTTTACACAGATTACCGAGATTGATGATGGAATATTGGATTATACATAACAATTAGCGATATCAGATCTGTCGAATTCAATCTTTGGCTTATTACAAGCTATTTCTGGTGATATTTTTCCTCTCTATCAAATATTTTGTGCAATTGTGTTTAATATGTTTCGAAAGTATCCATCTGGACATGAAAAACGCAATTAAATAAAAGAAGGAAGATCAATTCATTCAATCACAAAAAGGTGCTTTAGATAAGGTTTTTTTTTAAAAGTGCCACAATCAAGTGAAAACCCTATTGACTCAAAGTTTCTAGATGATAATAATGTTGGTGGTGATAATGTTAATGTTAATGTTGATAATGATAATGTAGATGCTAATAATGCCAATGTTAATGTTGATAATAATAATATTAATGTTGAGCAAGAAGATGTGAATCTGAATAATGTAGATGATTTTGAACAAAATGTGGAAGAAAATTTAGACCATAATATTCACAATGTTGAAGAAAATGATTTTGTTTCTCATGATATATAAGATCCAAGGATATGGGGAGCTCTTGATCAAAAGTCGATTGATATTTTGGCTATCAATGGCCCTAAAAGAGACTTAACCATAGTGAAAGGCCCTAAAGACAAAGTATCTAGGAGATTTACTTCAAATTTGTATACTAGATATTTGCCTAATGGTGAAACTTGTGATAGAGATTGACTTGTTTATTTTAAAGAAATTGACAAAGTATTTTGTTTTTGCTGTAAAATCTTCCAAAAGGGTCATTGAAAAGACAATTTGGTTAATGAAGGATATAATGATTGGTCACATATTAGTCATAGACTTAAAGAACATGAAACAAGTGTTGATCACGTTTTGAACATGGCTGCTTGGTGTGAACTAAGAAATAGATTGAAAAATAATGAAACAATAGACAAAGTTGCCCAAGGCCAATTTCAAAGAGAAAAAGAGTATTGGAAAGGTGTCATTATTAGAATAATTGCTATTGTGAAGTTTCTTGGTAAAAATAATCTTGCATTTCGTGGGAAACACGAAAGGTTATATCAAAGTAGCAATAAAATTTTTTTAGGTTTGATTGAAATGTTGGCTGAGTTTGATCATGTGATTATTGAGCATGTTCATCGTATTGAGAATGGAACTATTCATCATCATTATCTTAGCCATGATATTCAGAATGAATTGGTACTCTTACTTGCTTCTAAAATCAATGATGCTATTATGAAAAAAATAAAAGAAGCAAAATATTTTTCTGTGATGTTGGATTGTACACCTGATGCTAGTCATCAAGAACAAATGACTTTAATTTTAAGGTGTGTTGATAAATGTTCAAATTCTTATAAAGTTAAAGAATTTTTCATTGAGTTCTTACAAGTTAATGATACTACTGGTCTAGGACTGTTTAAAGTGTAAGAAAATGTGTTAATAGCTCATGATCTTGACATAGATAATATCAGGGGACAAGGATATGATAATGGTTCTAACATGAAAGGTAAACATCAAGGTGTGCAAAAGAGATTATTAGATTTGAATCCTAGAGCTTTTTATTCTCCATGTGGCTGTCATAGTCTTAATTTAGTTTTGTGTGACATTGCAAATGTTTTACCTAAAGCAAGGGAATTCTTTGGAATAGTCCAACGCATTTATACTATATTTGTTAGTTCTACCAAGAGATGGCATATTTTAAAAGAAAATGTTAAAGGTTTAACTCTTAAATCATTATCTGCCACTCGATGGGAAAGTCGTGTTGAAAGTATCAAAGCAATTAGATTTCAAATAACTGAGATACGTGAAGCATTACTTGAAGTAGCTGATGCTGACAATGACCATAAACTTCAAAGTGAAGCTAGATCTTTAATTAGCAAATAATGAGCTTGGTAGTTTTGAATTTTTGCTTGCTACAATCATTTGGTATGAAATTTTATGTTTTGTAAACTTTGTTAGTAAACAATTACAATCCCAGGATATGCTGATTGATATTGCCATTAGTGAGATTAAAGGACTGATTTCCTTTTTAAAAAAATAAAGAGAGAATGGTTTTTCAAAGGCCATGGATATTGCAAAAAAATTAGCTGTTGAAATTGGAATCGATCCTATATTTCCTCAAAGACATATAATACGTAGAAAAAGACAATTTGATGAAATAGATGGTGATGAAACACTATTATCTCCTAAGGAATCATTTAGAATCCAATATTTTATATACATTATGGATCAAACTATTGCATCATTGTAAAAAAGGTTTGAACAATATGAATCGTATGAGAATATCTTTGGCTTTTTGTTCAATTCTGATAAATTGCATTCAATGGATGATGAGAAACTTTCATCTTGTTGTTTTAATTTTGAAAATGCTCTTAAGAAAGGTGAGGTTTCTGATGTTGATGGAGAGAATTTATTTGTTGAGTTAACATGGTTTAGAGAGTTTTTACCCAAGGAGAAAATGGGAGCAATTGATTTATTAAATTTTTAAAAACGATATACTTGCTTCTCAAATGCAACAATTGCATATAGGATATTATTAACAATTTCTGTAACCGTTGCTTCTGCAGAATGGAGTTTTTCAAAGTTAAAGTTCCTGAAATTGTACTTAAGGACGACCATGTCACAAGAAAGATTAAATGGACTCGCTTTGATGGCAATTGAATCTGATCTTTTAGATGAAGTCGATATAGAGAATGTCATCGATGATTATGCTACAAAACATGCAAAAAGAGCTACTCTTTTTAAGTGATTTCTAGGATTTTAATTTAATTTTGACGAATTTTATGATGTAATGAATTTTTTTATCAAAAAAAAATTGGGTATTAAATTTATCGAGTAGAAGGCCCCATTTTGAAAAGTTGAACAGGGCCCCATAAATAATTTGCAATTTTAGCCCCGACACTGGTTTTGATAACAAATGCATGTATTTTGGTTGAGAAATGAGCAAGTTATATTATACCCATGAGCTTAGTATGAGACCTTTAATGGAAGTTTTGTCATTGTTGACATTTTAATTATTTTTATTTATATCAGCCAACAAAAGGAACACATCAACCAACAAATGAAACATATCAGCCAACAAAAGAAACATATCAGCTAACAAAAGATAGATATCAGCCAACAAATTGAACATATTAGCCAACAAATGAAGCATATCAGCCACCAAAAGGATGAAATTAGCAAACAAAAGCCGATAAAATAAACATATTAGCAAACTGTACATATCCTCTATCAAATAATACATATCCTCTAATAAACTATAAATATCCACTATCAAATAACACATATCCTCCACCAAATACTAGATCATATCCTCTAACAAACTGTACATATCCTCTATCAAAAATAAATTGTACATATCCACTATCAAATATTACATATCCTCTAACAAACTGTACATATCCTCCATCAAATAGTACACCATATCCTCTAACAAACTGTACGTATTATCTATCAAAGATAAATTGTACATATCCTTTATCAAATACAAAGTACTACATATCCTCTAAAAAACTGTACATATCCTCCAACAAATAATATATATCCTCCAACAAACTGTACGTATCCTCTATCAAATAACACATATCCTTCAACAAGTTGTACATATCCTCCATCAAATAATACATATCCTCCACCATATACTACATTATCTCATATACTTGCCGCACAAAAATTCTTTGGTGCGGCTTGTCGTACCCAATACCTTCTATTAAAAAATGGAGGGAGTATTTACTCTTGAGTTTACATGCATGTAATTTCTTTGTTTGGTTTTTTATTTTTTTATTTTTTTTTGGTGTTCCACCCGCTTCATCCTTTAGGGCTAATTCGAATTCGGAGATCAGTTCTGGGTGGTTAGCTTTCAGTCCCTTCCTAATTGTTGTTGTGGGGGATCGAACATGCGGTCCTCCCTATCAAGTGCAGTTCCAGTCACCAATGCATCAATAGTCAATTGGTTCTTTGTTTGGTTTGTGAATGGGTGGAAAACAACAATTTTTCTCAATGGTAGAAAATTACACTCTATATGGTAAAATACATAATATATTCCTTTAAGAACGGAAACCATTTTTTCCTCCCTCTTCTTACCCTTTATTGTTTTTGCTCTCGTCTATCCTCAACTTTTCTATCCTTTTTAATTTCTCTATAACTTTTCTTGTAAGAAATAAATATACAAAAACTAATTTGAAATTGTGGTTTTCTACATATCTCCCATAGACTCAATTTGTAGTCATATGCAATTTCTTTTTCAGACTTTAGAAACGTGAAATATTTTACTTGTATCAAAAAAACATGATTTATACTGTACTCCTATTAGAAAAAAATTGTTGACCGATTATTCCATCACATCAAGTGCATTTTGTGATAATCAGACCGTGCAAAATAACTGAACTACTGAAGCATCACAGTCCAGTCTAATTATTAATATTTGATTAGATGAATCAATTAGCTGAATTAGTGGTTAATCAATAAGCATTCCTAAATATTCATTAAAAACCGTAATTATCAGTACTTTGAAATTCTTCAACTGAAAAACTAATAAAGGAAAACCATTCCTCTTCTCACAATAAACCATCGACCTCTCATCTCCCAACACCCCCTTATATAAGCCAACCTGACTGCAATCCTTTTACCATCACCAATCTCACAAAATCAACTTCAGCATGGGCATCAAAAGCAGCGTTTTCGTTCTTTTAACAGTTGCATTATTCCTGATGCTGAATGCAACATCAGCAAGAGACTTCCCTCTTGCTGCTGTCAATCCAAAAATCATAGACCTCGCAGCAAGATTACAACTAAGTGCTGACGGTACTAATACTACTGATTGTTGGGGTTCCCTGTCAGAGCTCAGAACATGCTCAAATGAGATCATCGGCTTCTTCCTCAATGGATACACCGACATCGATGCCCCATGCTGCCAAGCCATTGAAGTCATCATCAACCATTGCTGGCCTTCAATGCTTGGTGTTCTCGGGTTTACTACTGAAGAAGGCAACTTGCTAGCAGCCTACTGCAGCAACAACTCTACTGCAGGCACTGTAACACCTGCTGGTGCACCACCTGTAACTAAAAATACTACTGGCAGTCACTTTTAGTCTCCCACTTCTTGCTGTAATTTCCTGTTTTTTGTCTGGAGCCTTTCATTTCTGTTAGTTTTTTTTTTTTTTTTTTCTTTTTCTTTTGGTAAGATCCATGTTACTTCAATCAGATGTTTAAGTATGAGCAACACTAGCTCTAAATAAAACAGACTGTCAGACTACTTGTTTTGATACTCCTTATTTTACAAGAACTTCAACACCCCCAACCCCAATTTCTAAGTACATTTATATAATTATTGCAACCCAAAGTTTCAGTACTACTTCAGAGGATGACATCAGGGATCTGACCTTTCTAACACTTTATCAGCTTTGGATTACAACAAAAATCTGCATCTTACAAGTTGCAGGGTAGTCGAATCTCAAAAACTAAATATGTCAACAAATTTGCTTACAAACTGAGAAATGCAATATGAAATATCCATATAACTACCATGATGATTCATATAACTCTAAAGCAAAGCATAATGATTTTGAGTAAACAATGGATCAATAGGGGAAGAGAGAAAGAAAAAAAAAAGATTTTAACTTCAAATTCATACCCTAGGAATTAGGAAGCACACAAACTAAAGAAATAGACCAATAATGTACTTTGAAATCTAATGTTAGAACTGTTCGGTTTATTATTGACTAAAAATATTAAATATTAAAAAAGAAGAGTATGGTTTCGTAAAAGATTACAGAGTAAAAAAGAATATACAGTATCATTCTGTGAATCAAGATCCTTAAAGACTTAACTTGTTGATTCTTCAATTTAATGTTTCCTTTGAGTTTTTAAGTTTCTAATATGCAACTTTTTATGCAAGTTTCTGTGCAACAAAGTGCTTATAGGTATAATAGTCATGGTGGAAGCTGAAATAAAATGAAACAATAAACATTATGGGGGCACGTTGCAGCTGTACTGGAAGATCTTTGAAAGTGAAGGATTAATACACATAAACTGGTATAAATTGAAACATGCAACAACTCATTAAGTCAGTTATATGGATGATGAAGCTCCAAGTATCAGTATTCTCAATAGCTCACACACACACAGTAAATTAGAAGTACTACAAACTACTCTACAACACAATAATTTGAAGATCTTATCATACGGTTATTGCGATCTGCCACTCTACTGAGTAAGAAGCTTAGAGTCACATGCTACTATTTTAACTCGGCTGACATTCTCCTGTAACTCCTCACTTTTGAACAGAGCGTCCTGTAAGATGAACGTCCAGACATTGTCGCAGAATCTGTAGGTATGCAAATGTCCCTGCAAAATATGTTTCAGAAAATATAAGACATATATACTGGCACTTTCAGCAACAGAAATCTAGACAAGTATTCTTATTTGGTTTGTATCAGTCAATTGATCATTAGTCCACAACCATGAAGAAGGGACCCCAAAAGTTTCGCATCATCTTCTTGACATATAAAGAAAAGCCTTTATCAATACATTAAAGCCAAACTCACAGGATCAGTTGAGATTAAAATGTACTGCTCCATTTTAGCTCTATCAAATTTGCAGGTGAGTTCATATTATTGATTTATTAACAAATTGACATATACATTAAATATTAATGATACATTAACATTAAGATCAATCAAAATATTGTACAGAGCTGCAGTCAATGTCCAGTCAAAAGCTAAGAAGACCTGGGTTAGTGCAGTACTCAACAAAACCACATCTGTATTTTGCTAGATTAATCTACAAATGAGCATTATCTCGTCCAGAGATCGAATAAATCATACCAACAGATCCACATCTGCATTTTGAGAGATTAATCTTTACAGAAGAAGTATTTGAAGATTAAATATCTCAAACCCTGGGATCTACTTCAATTAGGGGTAAACTTAACCACTCAATTTCAACATTACTCAGAAAATCCCGACATGGGATCAACTAGATTATTCTCCAAATGGTATATGATCAATTCTCAGTATACCACTAACCCATTCCCTTGTGCAAAACATGTAGATCAAAATTTAGCAGTACTTTCCTTGTACAAATTGTACACAAATAAATCAGTCACACCTCTATAAAAGCTATATAGTCTGAAAATCACCATTCAAAAAACCTTAGGACTTAGGGGGCGTTTGGTAGAGTAATTTTAAATGCAGGAAACAGATTCAAATAAGTATTTCCATTTCTAGTTGTTTGGTATGAGTTGAAAGTAACAAATACCGTTTCTGGAGGGTAAAGGGTAACAAAATCCCCCAATTTATTACCCTTGACAAATTAGTGGAAACAAAATATGTTTCTTACTCAATCACAACATACTCAAATTGTTTTCATTCTATTAGGATACCAAACATATAGTAAAGGTAACGTTTATCATTGCCCTATCCCCTATTCATTTAAATCCTTTCCATTCCGTAATATTTAATCTCCAAAAAAACTTATTGCACTCCCACTATGAGAGAGTAAAAAGAGTACAACTTTCAGGCATTTTTATACATTCTGCAAGTCATATGCTTGCTACGATACTCCCTCAATTCTACCAAAAATGTCATCAAATTTCTTGCAGATACTAGTTACTTAATAAAAATTGTTTTGGTAGAATAAGGAAAGATAATTAAGTTAATATGTATCCAAAATAATAATAAGGAAAAACCAAAGCAATAGATTATCATACTGTCGGATTTGAGGTAGCATTATCCTACAACCATCTCATCTCTACTTCTTTACAAACATGAGAGTACATATCTCAACACTATTCCCCCTATTTCCTAAAAGACTACTCCTATTTTGTATGATTTTAACCTCCACAAACCCTAGCACACAAGCATAATACACAGAGGATGATTAATTGATTTTATTATGTATTTATACCTTCATCGCCTCATATTAACATCACCCATCATCTGATTTCCAATATTACCTTAGTAAGTAAGTTCATTAAAAATTTACAAGTCAACTCCGCCATACACTAACATTCAGTATTCAGCTAAAGTTAATCCTAAACTATGCGTCTCCAAAACCACACAGATTTAACCATACTTGTTGAATACAAAACAACTGAATTCCATATCCAATATACAATGTTGCCATTCTTTTTCTATTCATTAATTGGAAGGCAAATCATTCTCATAAACAAACTATTAATATTTCTAATCAAATGGTAATGCTTGATATAATTTGATCAAATCCAATACCTTGATTGTTACTTTGGACTTCACTTGAGCTTCGAGAGCTTCGGTCATTGACTACAATCACACAAACACAATTAAACATTAATATTACGAGGGAAAAATAAAACTTCTTACAAACAGAAAAAACATAAACAGAAATAAAAAGAAAAGTAAAGACAAAAACGTTTAATTCACTACCTTATCAAATTGAACAAGAACTTGGATAGCAAGCTCAGGACTAAGAGTACCACTCTGAACCATCTCATCTAACGTCTCCGTCAAACACATTCCAATTGTCGACCTTCGATACAGCTCGAATGTCGCCATTTTTATACGAAGATCTGCGGTCAAATTCTCCAATTAATCAACTTTCAATCACTAACAAATTCAACATTTTCAAACAAATTATTGCCCAATCATGTTAAGCTCAGATTATGAGAAAACTGCGAAAAAGATCAGTGAGACGAATTTCGGTACAATAAAGTAAAATTATTTCGAAATCTAATTTAAGAGATTTTAACAACTTCAAACAAATTAATCGGAATCTTACAAAAATTGAGCTCAAATAAGAGAAAAATACGAGAAAAATTCATGAAAAATTCGAAATTACATTCATCTGATTCCAACGATTTCAAACGAATTAATCATTCACAAATTCGGAATCATTCGAAAATTGATCTTAACATATGAGAAAAACTACTCAAAATTCATCAAAATGATGAAATTAAGTACTAAAAAAAGGCAGAAATTCGAAAATTGAGAAGTAGAAAAGTACAATTTAATGAGATAAGGCAACTTGCTCTGAAGTAGTTTGGTGATGTTGGTACGAAAATTGGAGAAATTTGGGTGTTTTTATACCCTAGCATTTTCTGGATTTGGTGTTTATATAGCGCTGACCGACTTTGTAATTACTGGACAATAATACCCTTCATGGGCTCAAAGTATTTACTGTTTTGACACGGTACATCGTTTGGATCAATTTATGTCAATCCATTTAAGATATAACCTCGTTCTTTATTGGGCCACAATGCTTTTTTCTTCTTTCCTTTTTGTTGTTCTTAGCCCTTAAACCATTTTTGGAACTTTGATTGATATTCTTTGTCTCTAACTCTATAAGGTCCTATTCTTTTGAACTTTTGGACAGAGTAAATCAGGTTATTATTATTGTTATGTATTATTACTATTGTTATTAAATATTAATTATTAATATTATTATCTATAGTTTTTTTTTAAACAATTATCTTTAGTTATTAATTATTATTATTATGAAATATTAATTATTACATATTTATTATTATTATTATGATGATAATTAAATACTAATTATTCTTATTATTTAATAATAATTATTATTATTATTTATTTATTTATTTTTAAGCAGAACATATTTAAGCATAGTAGAGTAGATTTCAGCAGAGCAAAACAACTCAAAAGAACAAGGCCTAACACTGTTTGGTATTCCCCTCGTTTTTAGTATGTGCGCTACTTTAACCTTTGTAATAGTTGAGCCCTACACCCTAGTGTAGGGTCTTCTACCTACACCCCATGTAAAACTACGTCGTTTGATCCCACTCCTCCACTAACCACTAATCTCTAACCTTCATTAACCACAACAAATTGTTTAACCGCCCCTACCCCACATATATATACATAAAAATTAAAAATTAAAAAAAAAAAATCAAATCATTTTCTCTCTCCCCACTCATCTCTACATTTTCTCTCTCTACACCCATTTCTCTGCCATTTTCTCTCCCATTAAAAGCTTTAATTGCAAAGTTGTTTCAAAATCATCACAAAAAAGTGTTCAATCACTATGAAATTCAACAAAACAAGGCCCAAAATCCAAATGAGTAAGTTATTTTGTTTAAATTTGGAACGAAAAAGAGCATAAACCTTAGATTTTACTAATTTTTTGTTGTGATGTGTTTCGAAAACACAATTGAAACATCAACCATGAAAATTGTATATCAACGTAAGTATTATACTATAGTTTTAGTAATTTTTATTGAAAAACTAGTAAATTAAATCAATACATTTTTGCAGAGTGAAGGAAACAGTTTCAGAGAAAAAAAAACAAGATTTTGAAGAAATGTAAGCATTAATAAATATAGTTCGTAGTTTTTTTTTTTTTTTTTTTTTTTTTTTTTTTTTTTTTAATTTTATAAATGTTCATTTTCATTTTGTTAAATGTTCATTTATATATTAGTATGTTGTCATTCACATTTTAATAAATGATTAATATACATGTTTATTCATATATTAGTACATAGTTTATGTAATAATGTTCATTCTTTTTCATAGTTTGAATTGGAAAATTATTTTGATGAATGTTCATATTTATTTTGGCAGATGTTCAGTTATATACAAGTATATGATCATTCACAATTTCACATATTAATATACGATTATTAGAATTTTGATAAATATTCATATTTTAGTCATTTTCTTCAAATATCTCAGTTCATTTCAATTTTGAATTTCAATATATGTCTTTTCTT